TAATTACAATGTACTGCCTGGTAAGTAAACGTCACTGTGTGTTCCAGAGATTTGTAGATTGGAAATTCAATGTTTGAAAGAAGGCCAGAAATTTAAGACTATGTGAAAGAGGAACTGTTTAATAATTTCATTATGTTGTAAAAAAAATAATAAATACATTATTGAAAATGCTGTATTATTAAATTATTTCTTGTGATATGCCATTCATGTAGTAAATTGTGTTCTTCATATTCAAGTTCTTCATTATTATCGTTCTCCTTATCATAGACAATATTGATCTCGTCATTTTCGATATTTCTTATGCGTAAGATTGTGTGAAACAGCACATGAGTATGTAATTTTTCCTGCAACTTCTGGTGAATAACACAGAACTCTGCGGCAGTATTTCTGGAAATGTGTCTCTCGCCGCTTCCCATTACAGTTGGTAGGTCTTCCTAAAGGTTTCTTCTCGAACGATCAAGGGGTCGTTTACATCTCTTAAGACCCGAGACAAATTTCTCATTCTGTCTCTGCAGTAAAAAAAATATACCTATAATAAGTTATCAACCTAATCCAAACATACATTAATTAGTTACATTTACCTTCTCTACCCATATTTGCACCAAAACGTTCCTCTTCATTGTATAAATACTTTTCTAACGTGTTCTGACACTTCTAACGGTGAGCTGAAACCTATCGTTCCGGAACGATGACATTCTAACGATACGATCGCTATGTAACGAGACGATAGATGTTACAAAATCGCTATCAGTCCCAAAATCGTTATGGGAACGATTATCGTAAGTTAACGATGCTCTAGCGAGATCGTTAAGAGTTACAAAATAGACCTCTTAAACCGTCTTGGACGTTGTTTAGGTGACTCGGCTGCACCTCGTCACCTGACAACGTCCTCGACTATTATAAATCGCATAATATTCTCGTTATATTAATAGCTATAATTCGCTGTTCTATAAACCGGCCCTAGGTTTATAATTGTCTTAAAAATACCATTGTCGAAAAGTTACATTCGAAACATCAGGATATATTTTAGTGATTCTAATGTCTAACAATAAATGTTAATTTTAGATAAATTGTTACTAAGGGAATGTTGAAAAACTCTTGCCAACCGGTACTTCTTTAGACATTGTACCTTGTATTTGCCTAATAGATATGTTAATTATTATCATTACTAAATCAATTTACGGCTTGTTTAGACATGAATTTCCCATCAGCAATCACCTTTATTCCTGTAATTGGTTGAATCATTTCGACTAAAACAAACTTTATTTTCTTTTTTACAAATTTCCAAACATTCAAAATATGCGCGCCGAAATCGTCGTTAAGCACGTATTTAGTCTATGATTTATCCAAAATCTATATCACATTTTGTAGCATCCATAAAATCTTGAAGATATTCATAAAGTTGTCGGTTGTCTTCTTAAACTTTTCAGATTGTTGATCTTTCATAGCAACCGAGATGAAATTAAATTTCGTCTACCTATTCTTCAACTATTAATTCGATATACATATTTCCTCGTAAATAGTTTCAGGAGGGGTAACTTCCCGGTTGCCAATGGTAAGAATACGAAATAAAGAACTTTTTGTAGACGAAATTGAGTAAAACTGGGAAATAAGTATTTCCTGATACGTATTTCAGTTATACATAAATGCTTTTTGAATTGGAGTTTTTTTCTTAAAAACTCACTTCTCTCTCTGACATTGGCCTATCACGCACAGATAGTAAAGTCACAAAAAGTGTATCTCCGATACAGGTCACCTTCATCTTTTCCAGATTTTCCCAAAATATTTCAAGTAAAATTGTCAACATATGTAACAAAACTCCAGTTTCGCTCTCCATGTCAGTCGCAGCTGCTCAATTAGTGTTATAGTGATATTTATCGTAAATTGAAATAATTGGTCTAAAGTTGTTTACACAGAAATTGCGTCGCACAATAAATCAAACAAATCCAGTTTTTTAGATAAATTATAAAATAAAATCCTGCGATTTTCATAGAAAATTCAGAAAATGTATGTTAATTTGAGTAATTAATTTTATTTTAGTAGGTAGGGGAACTAGGGGCTTGTTGTAACAGGGGTAAGTTGTAACATTACATTTTTACCCGGAATTTAAACTCATTAACGTCAGGTTTTTTACTGATTTTAATTCTTGCACCATAAGATATCATGTCATCACAACCACTGTTCCTCCAGCCAGCGCAATGAGTGTATGTGTGCACGTGTTTCGTTTTGGCCAAGTAATGTAAAATATTGCTTTAGTAAAATTTGGTTTTTCGTATTTGTTATTAATTAATGTTTAACTTTTAATTTTGCATATAGTTCAAAAATTACTCAGCTTTGATATTCCTTACACATTTTGACGCTAAGCGAAATAATTTTGTCGAAATGTAATTAAATGTAGAAAATTGTGCTACGGGGCATGTTGTAACAATACCTGAGGGGCAAGTTGTAACATGTTACAACTTATCCCAAATTCACTTCTACAAATCTCGTACCTAGCATACTAAAAGCGAGCGAAAATTTTGACCTATGCCATATATCGGTTTCCAGATATATTAAGAAAAAGGAAAACAAAACTCAAATCTTTAATGTTGATTCTTTTTTTAAAAGTTTATTTGAGTTTTACTGATAGATATTGATATTATATATAATGAAGTGTTGTGTTGATTTTTGAAAAATAAAGTCTAAATATGTGTCAACATCAGCTTTATTTTTACTGGTACTACCTGCCTCATGGCTGTTACAACTAGCCCCAAACACGGGACAAGTTGTAACAGTGCACTTTTTTTAAGAAAATGCCTGGTATAAAGTGAATATGAACAATTTTGACCTTTTGCGTGTTCAGTCCAGTAGGGGAATAGTTAGACTACCGACAGATACTTTTATAATGGTCAAACAGCTAGTAGATACCAAATTATATTCGTTTTCCTAAAAACTGTTACAACAAGCCCCTCGTTCCCCTACCACACGTATTTTTTTAAAGGAATTGGTGGTTAATCTCACACGCTATAATTGAACATAATTCTGACTTAGTTTTGACAAAAATCTTCGTTGTAACTGTCAGAAAGAAAATCTACCGTTACAAATTTAGCGTGCTTGATTCTTCTGAAATAGCTGTACATTTGGTTTTCTGAATCCATATTATTATTAATATACCCTTATTTATCTAACCGTAATCTCTAAGTTTGTATCGCATTCCACTTCCGATTCGTTTAAACCACCCTGAGGCGTGCCTCAGGAGTCCAATTTGGACCCTTTGCTGCTCTTACTTTTATTAGTGATTTACGCGAAGGATTACAGTGTGGAAAGTTATTTATGCTGACGAGCTCAAATTGTATAATGAAGTTAGATGCACTCATGATTGGCCCGATCATCTAGTTAAATATCTTGAAAACATACAATCTTTAAAAATATGCCTATTAAAATAGTTTGTATTATCTTTTACTACAAAATTAGGTAGGTATATTCGACTTTGTACTCTTATCATACAGAAAATATATTGAATTGCACTTTCGCTTGTACGTCGCAACAATGTTACCAAATCTCTTAGAATTGACTAATACCTATTAAAACTGTTATTATTTTACAAACAATATTTCACTTGTGATGTCTCTTTTAGAATAATGGCTTAATGCGATTTTCCATTTACTTATATTTTCTCATGTTCAACACCTACGAGTCATCAGTTTAGCGTAAACTGTTGAAGTTCACTAGCTATGATGTTGTCAAAACGTCATGATCAATTATCTTACTTTCCCGTTTTAATTAATTCTTTGTCAGAATTAGTTAAATTTGAGTTTTATCTTTTGTATAACTTCTTTAAGATTAAGTAGGTTTTTAGGGAAAAAAATTCGGTCCCGTCATATGTTACTGTTTACAAGCGTGTAGGTAACGCTTTATTTTCTGAACTTTAGAAACAGTGATGTTGTTAAAAAACCGCCACTTATTTAGACAGACCTTTAGCGTTCCTACTCAAGTTACACTGTTAATTCTTATTAAAAAATTATATTTTTGAAGCAGAAATTTAAGTATAGAAAAATAACTGTATGGAAGAGAATAAGCTATGATTGTGTTGACCTTACAAGTTTACATAGAAACTGGTTTCTAGTAACTCAGGTTTTTTGATGTCCTCAGTAATAGTTCTCTGTGGTAAACTCTCTAACAATCGTAAAGTTGATTAAAATTATATTTTTTAAGAATATCACGTAAACGGTAAAACACTAAGCCAAATTTGTTTGATCACCCCCCACCAACAATTTTATGACGTCTTTACAAATTTGTGTTATAACTTAGAAATCACGACACCGACTGCTGTAAATTCTTGCAAATGTTTTAAACTTATCGTACATGTGCTAATTCGTTCATTAATTTTTTTTTTGTTTAGCACCTCCAAGACTTGACGACGTCATCTCACAATTTTACTGAATCCGTTCTATTTCTTAAAACTAATTATAAAAAGTGTCCTAAAAAATATAGTGAAAGAAGAAATTTGTTTTATTGATTAAATCTATAACGACTTGTGTCTTGGAATTCTGGGAATACCGTGATGTTGTTATTGGTATTATACTGTACCTATTCTAACTGATGTATTTGTTCCTACTAAAAACTTGATGACGTTATCAAAAAAGACATTAACAACGACTTGAAACACACGCATAGCAGGATTATTTACATATAGTTGAACAATCCATACTTATTTTTATTTTAACTTATAGGAGTTAACCATCAAAATATAAAATTCGCAGAATCAACATTTTTTACGACTGAGGACAATTCCTGGAAATCTTAGGAAACCCTAATGCTTTTTGTGAAAAAATATTTGGGAATCCTTATGTTTTGTTTTTCAAAGTATTAGAAAAGACTGCGAATTTCTGGTATTTGGTGTTCTAGATATTTTCAAAGCATCTCCAACTCTTTTCATCATACTGAATAATTTTCCTGTTTTAACTTTTCCATTACTTTGGAAGACTGGGAAAAATTGAAAAGATCAGTGTCCGCAAACGTATTTTTTACAGTGACTTTAATTTTTATTATAATTTTATATTAACTTTTGAATACAATAAGTTTATTTTTTAGATATTTTGTAAATCCTAAACTATTACTATAGGTTGTATCTTAAATGGAAACATTAAAGACTATTATTTTTTGATAAATTGCTGTTACAAGTTATAGCTAATCTACGTACTAATGGAAGCTGGTAAATTTACGTAATTCTTTCATTTGTTGCTGCAGTATTTGTGTAATATGACTCAATAAAATCAAAACACGAATGTATTGGATTTCACTTAAAGAGACAAAAATGGAAATAAGACTAAAAACTAATTAAATTATTGGCCACCACATACTGAACAATATATCTGGCTCTATCCTTTAAAGCAGATTTATTTTTCACTTCATAAATGAAAGCCTGCCCAAAATCGTTACCACTTTCAACTGCATCCACAATATCTAAAACTTCATTTTTTTCAGTAGCGTAAATTTTGTATGCTAAGGTAGACATTAAAATTCCATATTTAGAGTATTTTTTCCAATCGCTAAAAAACTCTTCTCTTGGATATAACGAGTCCAATTCAGAACCAAGTTGGTCAGTATAAAACTTTAATCTATCGTAATAATAATCTAAAATGACATTCAACTCATAAATATCTTCTTCAGAGATATTAGCAAATATGAAATAACATAAATCAAGAACGGGTGAAGAATATGTTGATAGTTGCCAATCCAAAATAGCTACTTCTGTTGGTATACTTTTGTTCTTTTTCTGAAACAAAAGAAAAGTAACAACGAAATTCCTTCATAAAACTAACTTACGTCGTGTTTAAACATGAAATTATTGCACCAGCAGTCACCATGACGCATCACCTTCACGCCTGAAATTCCTTGAATCATGTCACCGAAAATAAAATTTATTTTCTCTTTTAAAGATCTCCAAACACTCAAAATATGCTCATCCAGATCGTCTTTAAGCAAATCGTGTATTTCGTCAATAATTTTTCCAAAAATTATCTCACAATCTGTTGCTTCCACAAAACGTTGAAAGACATTCATCAAGTTGTCGGTTAGTTTTTTAAACCCTTCAGGCTTTTGATCTTTCATCGCAATTGAGACGGCATTAAATTTCGCATATTCTTCAACTACTAATTCTATATGTTTCCTCGTCAATAGTTTTTTCTTATCCCAGAGAACGTATCCACTTGTCTTCAAATTGTCAAAAACGATAACCTCTAAGTTGTCAGCAATAAGTGCCCCGTGACACTTTGGCACACTCTTAAACGGATGAAAAACTCCTTTCTCTAGCTGAAAGTGAGTGAAAGTGGGAAATACCTTCTCATAAATATAAATTTCAGTTATAAACGCTTCTTTGACCGGCGTTTTCTTCCTTAAAGCCTCACTTCTTTTACTGCACTTTAGTACAAGATTATATTCTGGGCTTGACTTATCACGCACGGATGTTAATGTCACAAAAAGTATGTCCCCGATGTAACCATCACCTTTTTCCGAATTCCCCACATTCTTTAAAGAAAAATTCTTAATATTTTCTTTTAAGATCACATTTAACCAAGATTTAATTTCACTCTCCATGTCAGTCGTACCTACGAACTAAATTGTTGTTAAACATGTTGGGTAACAACAATGTTAATATAATATCTGAAACGTGACCTCGTGTTTATTGTCTGTCTACCATAAAATGATTCTTATGACCGCAAATTGATGGCATGTTTTGTTTATGTGAGAAAACATATTGATGTGCAAATATGAATAACACATAAAACAGCACATCGAAAGTTACGCTAAATATCTATATTTTTTTACTTACAGTAGCTACCATAAAATAAATACATTTTGCAAAATCAAATTTTATCATTTTTCGAAAAGCCTGGACTTGTTCGAATGTATTTAAGGAGAGAGGAAAGTTCTGTCTAGATAAACTTAGAAATCTTTTAATTACTTAGTTTGCGCTACAATTTGTGTGTTTTCAGCGTTGTGTAGATAACTTTAGACAATTTTTTTCTCTAATATACTTACATTTTTTTGGACAACACAAATTTAAATTTTTCTAGTTGGAATTGGATCTCTTAAATTAACACATGGCAGCCAATTTTCAATGGACTAATTCAAAATAAACAAAAAATCCTAACATTTATTAAAAAAATATAAAAATAGGGGAGTATATAGGAACATATACATTTCATATTCATTCACTGCTAATTTTTGGTTAAATTAGCTTATTTTCAACTACGTAGTTTACAACATGTCTTGCCCGATTTTTAAAGGCAACTTTATTCTTGACTTCATAACAAAACGCCTCAAAGAAATTTGTATCAGTATCAGAAACATCAGTTAGATCAACGACTTCATCTTTTTCAGTAGTGCAAATTTTGTATATCAGACATGCATATAGAGCACCATATTTCGCATATTTTCGCCAGTCGTCTAGAAACTGTTGCTTTGAATATAAATTATGCAGATCAGTCCCAAGCTGACTTGAACGGAATTGTAGTTTCTCATAATAACCATTTAAAATATCGCTTATATGTTGTACGTCTTCGGTAGATATGTTAGCAAAGATAAAATATGATAAATCAAGAATCGGCGACGAGGCTTTTGACAATTGCCAATCCAACACAAAAACCCTAACTGGTGAAAAATTGTCAGCAGGCTAAAAAAAAAAAAGTAAAACAGCATAAGTATTTAGAATGTTTCGCCACCTTACGTCATATTTGAACATAAAGTTATTGCACCAACACGAAGCGTGCAAAATTACTTTTGGTGTTTCTTTTTTGTCAACCATACCCTCAAGAATAAAGTATGCTTTTTCGTACAAAATTTTCCACGTATTCAGCGTGTTTTCATCTAGATCACCTTTCAATAAATCGTATATTTCTAGTGCAGCCCTTCCAAAGACTGTATCCATATTGTTTGTCTTTACGAACTCTCTAATAAATGTGTCACCTAAACCGTCACTTAATTCCTTAAACTTCTGAGGATCGTGTTGCTGCAAAGCAATGGAGAGGGCGTGAAACTTTGCATACTCTTCGAGAATAAGATCCATATGTTTTCTCGTAAATGGATGTTTCTTATCCCACAAGACGTAATCGCTCGTTTTCAAATTTTCCAGAACAATAATTTGCACATCTTTAGTAGTGAGTGTTCCATAACACGTTGGAACACTGCTGAACCAATTGTGAAGGCCTTTCTCCGTCTGAAGTTTGGTGAATGCAGGAATCACTTCATTGTAAATGAACATTTCAGTTCTAAATGCTTCCTTGATGGGAGTCGTTGCTTGGTTAATTCTGTTACACTTCAAAACTAATTCGTAGGTTTCGATTTGGTTGTTACTCTTTGGGGTTAACTTTACATACAATATATCGCTCAAGTACCCTTCACCTTTTTCTGCATTCCCTAAAACGTTTACAGAATGATCTTCTATCTCTTCTTTCAAGATATTTTTTAGCCAAGATTTTATTTCATCTTCCATTGTAGTTTTATAGACGCTGTGAAGATTGTCTGAAAGTAATTTTAGTCAAAACAATTGAAGAGATGTTTTTAAAATGACTGATTTTATTTATGCAAATTTATTGACGTCGCGTTAAAACAAAGTAATTATGTTAAGTTATCTAAAAACACTGCACTATCAATGTCTATGAATAAATCACTAGCGCTATCAGTTGTTTACTGCAGAACTGAAACAAATATTTTAGAATATTCAACTCAAAAAAATTGGTTTAAACTTATTTACACAGAACTTCCTTTGCTCCTAGGCAACAGAACATAATCCAACATTTTCGAAAAATTATAAAATTTGTTTTTGTACACATAACATTTTGCACATTTTTAATATGATTTATTTGGTCAAATTTTGAAATGATGTCATCAATTTTAGGGGGAAAAGAATAACCGCATAACTTACATTTAATTAAGAATTAACGATTTTTCAGACCATGCTGCAATTACAAAGTTAATTTGTAATATTTTTTTCTAAAAATCTTAATATCTAGGACAAAAAAGGATTCATAATAATCTACAAACGTAGAAGTTGTTAATTTTATAAAAATTTAAATAACATTTATTGTGGGGTCACGTTATCACATTATTGGTGAGGATTACCACAAAAAATTTTGTTTAGCATTTTATCATCTACATGAAATTCGTAAAATACGTATAAAATTTGCACCTCCCCAAAATTACAACGTCTAACAAACACACTGGACATAGCAAAATAGTAATTTTCAATATTTTAAAAATTAGCCTGAAATTTATGTCATAATTATCAAAACTAATTTTTTTATCTCCCTCCACTTGTATAAAATGTATCAAAACTTACATCCACTTACATCTAAAGATGTTGTGTCTTGGATATATGATATGTTACTGTTTAACTCTTTTGTTAGATCAAAAATTGAATATTGTTGCATTAAATGGAATCCGTCACATGCAATAGGTATATGTCACACTCATTGAAAATGTACTGCGTAAGTTCTGTAAATTCCTGTACTTCAAAATGAATGGCATGGTGATCGAAGCGCCCTTTTTTAGAGTATTGTTAATCAGAGATCTCTTGCTGGTAGAAGGAAAGTGCCATGTCTTATATATCTACAAAAACTTATATTTGGTGAAATTAAAAGTGAACCTCTACTGAGTCAAATAAAAATCTCTGTTCCTAGAGTTGTAAGTACTCTGCGCTCACTTTTTACTACAGAATTCCCAATATATTCCGTCATTATAATTCTCCGCTTTTTAGTTGCTTCAAACTATATCATTCCATTCATCAGAAGTTTGATATTTTGAAGGATAATTTTCGCCCCCAAAAAAATAAAAATGAACTCATTTCATACTACAGTCTTTAAGTTCTCTATTAAGCATTTTTTCACTATTTTATTTTAGTATGTTTAGTTTAGTTTTAGTTTAAAATTTAAATGTTATGATGTTCTTATATACACTGACCGGCAAAAAAAAGGGGCCACCTTGAAAAATTTCGCATAACCAAACTTAAAACATTATTAATTTCACTAGTAGGTAATCGTTATTTTATTAAAGAACCATTCACTATTGATACATGATGTAAAAATTAGCAAAAAAAAGACAAATAAACGCAGAATTAAATTTAATTTAACAAAATAACAGAAATAGAACGACAATTTGAGAGACGTCTCTAATTAAGAGTTAATGGCATTGTTTTCGCGTGAAAATATTTATTAACTGCCAAACATATAATGAAATGACGAAAAACACTGTTTGCAACAGCAACCTCGTTTATTGTTTTAATTAAGAAAATATCGTGCTTGGTATGCTTCTGTTATTTTGTTAAATTAAATTTAATTCTGCGTTTATTTGTCTTCTTTTTTATGCTAATTTGTAGATCATGTGTCAATAGTGAATGGTTCTTTAATAAAAGAACGATCACTAGTTACATTAATAATTTTTAAAGTGGTTTTACGAAATTTTTCAGGGTGGCCGATTTTTTTGCCGCTATATATTTTAGAATTTATATAAGTATATATATATATCTTCTGTACATTCTCATATTGTAGTTTCATGTTCCTTTTTGGACATTTGTCCGTTGGAAATAAACCATTATATTATTAGGTATATATTGAAGTACTGATAAAAGCCGGAGACCGAATAATGGCTGATATAGACGGTTTGCTTACACCGTTGCCATGGAATCGGTGCGTGCGGTAGCGATAATAGAGTGCAAGTCGGTCGTGATGTGATAGTGCCCAGCCGCGGTAACTCAATTGCGGGTTTTAATTTTCATTCTGCGCGAGTGAAATTGTTTGATTGTAAATAAAAATAATGAATTCGGCTGAATATTTAATAAAAAATTCTCGTTTGTGTCACGACGGTAAAATTTTAGTGAAAAATTTAGGGAACCACCCCCGATTTATTAATAAAAAAAGTGTTCATGCCAAAACGAGAAACTTTCATAGATATTTTAATAGACGTAACATGTATGATAAATATTATTGAATGATCTTCTCGACAATGCAGACATTCGGAAACAACTAGACACCGCCTATATTAATAACATTCGGGCACATAACGCAAGGGTGGACAAAAATCGCCATATATTACGCCAAGTGATAATGTGCATACAATTTTGTGGAGTGTTCGAACTTGCTTTACGTGGACCTGACGAAAGTAAGGAATCACAAAATCCAGGTATATTTCAAGGTCTGATTGATTTTACGACTGAACTGGACTCCGTTTTATCAGATCGTTTGAAATAAGCAACGGTTTTTAAAGGAACGTCTAAAACTCTCGAAAATAAACTTTTAGATTCCATCAACGTAAAATTATGACGGAAGGCAAAAAGGTATGTGGACAAATACTTTTTACTTTTATTGAATGTATTTTTGCATTTATTTCCGTCACATAATTTCGTCTATTAATTGGTAATAACAACCTGTTTTATATCTTCATATTTAATCAATCAAATTGTGTCCCCTATTTCAAAAGGTCACGAGCCGCCACTGGCTAAAGGTCTCTTCAACATGCAAAAACACTCCCAATGTACAAAGAATGTTCTTCATGCCCACTCTATACGTGTTGTGAACTTGTATAGAACCATTTTTCTTATTTTCCCAGAATGTTGACATTTTGATTATCTTGCTTAAAACTATTTCAAGAAATAAACATTGTATTGAGCTAATTACTCTAAAAGATTAGACTAGCGATAATTTGTGGGTTTATGAAGTTATGAACATAAGTTTTACTTTTTGCCGTGTTCTAGACACGTAGAAAAGATTAGTTGTAGTATTACTATTACTAACAATGGTCCCAATACTCCCAATTAATTTATTTCCTAAGGCCTGGATAAACTCTGTCTGTTTTTGGGAAATACAAAAAATAACTCCCTGCCCATTCCAGTTTAGCACTAATAACCACCTTGGTACCCACTAAATACACAGTCCTCCAAAAAAAAAAGAATCATGGCTGTATTTCCTTTAGCACTATCTGGAAATATCCTTTAGAAGTCTGGGAATCCAGTACATTTTCTTACCGTGCTTGTGTAGATTACATTTTCTCTCTTTAGGCCTCCCTGTGAAATAGAGAACCTTATATTGCTATAGAGGAACTTCGCGGTTTCGTTTTTATTTACGCACATGGAAGCAAGTTTTAATTTTAATTCAAAACAAGCAATAAATCATAACAAAGAAATAACAGGTAGGTACACAACATGTTCATTTAAATATTTCTGATTTTTGGTTAAATTAGCTGATTTTCAACCATATATTTTACAACATGTTTTGCTCGGTTTTTAAAAGCAGCTTTATTCTTAACTTCATAAGCAAACGCCTCGGTGAAGTTTTTACCACTGTCAGAAGTATCAGCGACATCAATGACTTCGTCTTTTTCAGTAGCGCAGAGTTTATATACTAGACTTGAATATAGAGCACCAAACTTAACATATTTTCGCCAGTCGTCTAGAAACTGTTGCTTCGGATAGAAATCATGCAGATCAGCCCCAAGCTGACTTGAATGGAGTTTTAATTTCTCATAATAAACATTTAAAATATCGCTCATATGTTGTATGTCTTCACTGGATATGTGAGAAAAAATAAAATATGACAAATCAAGAATCGGCGATGAAGTTCTTGACATTTGCCAATCCAACATAGAGACCCTGATTGGTAAAAGATTCTCACCACTCTACAATAAAAAATAAGACAACATATTTAAATTTTTTCGTCAACTTACAGCATACTTAAACATGAAATTGTTACACCAACACGAGGCATGCAGAATTACTGTTAGTGCTTCATTTTTGTCGACCATATCTTCAAGAATAAAGTGTGCTTTTTCGTACAAAATTTTCCACGTACTCAACGTGTCTTCATCCAGATCACCTTTTAGTAAATCGTGTATTTCTAGCACAGCTCTTCCAAAAAGTACTCCCAAGTTGTTCGCCTTTACAAACTCATTAAGTGTGTCACCTAAACAGTCACTTAATTCCTTAAACTTCTGAGGATCGTTGATTTGCAGAGCAATGGAGAGGGAATGAAACTTTGCATACTCTTCGACTACTAGATCTATGTGTTTCCTAGTAAATGGATGTTTCTTATCCCACAAGACGTAACCGCTTATTTTCAAATTTTCCAGAACAATAATTTGTACATCTTTGGTAGCCAGTGTTCCATAACAGACTGGAACACTATTGAAACAAACAATCACGAATGCCTTTTCCTGCCTGAAACTTGGTGAATTCAGGAATCACTTTATTGTAAATGAACATTTCAGATTTAAATGCTTCCTTAATGGGAGTCGTTTCTCGGAAGGCTTGACTCGTTTTGTTACACTTCAAAACTAATTCGTATGTTTTTCCTTCGTTGTTACTATTTGGGGTTAAATTTACAAACAATATATCACTCAAGTACCCATCATCTTTTTCTGGATTTCCCAAAATGTTGACAGAATGATCTTCTATGTTGTCTTTCAAAATTTTTCTTAACCAATATTTTATTTCAGTTTCCATTGTAAATGACTTTTCAGAAGATGTCAAAGTCGTCTTAAAATTATTTTAATAACTACACTGAAGTCACTGAACTAAACATTTTTGAAAATAACTCCGAATTTACACATATTTACTGCGGTGGTGTTAGAACGAAGTATACGTTATCTAAAAATATTGCCATGTCAATGTTTATGAATAAATCATTAGCGATATCACTTGTTTACTGCAAACCGGGAAACACTATTTTTGTACATTGTAAATAATCAATTCAAAACATTTTTCAATAGAAAAAAATTGGTCTAAGGTTAATAAGACGACAGAACAACGATATGTATGTAGTGTTAAAGTAAAAGCAAAGAAGCATGCTATGCGTAGATTTCAAATGAGTTTTCCCATTACAAAATCTAATAAATATGAACCCATTGATATACCACAAGTATAGACTCATAGTATTTTACATATTTTAGGTAAGATTTATTCAGCAAAATTGGCAAATTATCTTGCTTACGATGATCCTAAAACGTTTGCAATGTAACTTGCGTTGTAGTGACTTTCTTACAATCTCGCGTTTTAACGTAATTTTTAGGTTATGTGCTTTGTTTTCATTTCCACAAGTCAACTTACAACCTGTTTTTCCGGCAAATTTCTGTTGTCAACAAATTCTTGGATGACTGGATCAGAAATGAAAAAAATTACTGGGTACCGTCTGCATGATATTGCTAACATACATATAAACTTTCACGACAATCTGTCCAGCAGTTTCCCAAAATCACTGTTTTTTTTCATCCTTAGGTATCAGAAGTTCAACATACATACATACATGCATACATACCTTACATACATACATAGAACTTTATTCATGTTAAAATAATACATGATTAGGGGGAGTCTAGCCATAAGCTATTCCACTCAACCTTACAAAATAAATATTCTATTCAAAAACAATAAAATAATAAAATTAACTTAGACGTGCAATAGCTAGGAAGAAAATAATAATATAAATATGTAATAACCACAACAAAAATATATAATTCACACAATAATTTAACAGTAAATATTAAGAATTAAGATACAGAATATATATCTACAAATATAGGGGTGCAGATAGCTAAATTTATGACGATTCCGAGTGCAACAGAATGTTTTTTATTTTTTTCCGAAAGCTGTTCACAAAAGTACAGTACAGCAATTCAGAATTAAACTTATTATAAGACTTAATAATGTTAAATGACAATGATTTACAAAAAATAGAGGTAAAAAATCTTGGCATTGACAACTGCTTAAGGTTCCTTAGTGGTATACATATAACAGAGAAGCATAATTTGATCATCTGAAGGGTAATTCTTCATATCCTGACGCATTTGATTTTAGAGCAGAAATTATGTCTAAAACCTCATCTTCCGTAGTGAGCGAAAATTTGAAATTACTTTCATCCGGGTATTTTTTATTCCGAATTTCATTAGTTAGTATGAAATCAAATTGTTGCTCGGGACTCGATGGCATATCTGCATTTTTCTTGAAAGATTGTATGCCCATATTAGTGCAGCCTCTGCGGTCCATATTTAATTCGTGCATATCAACAGGTGTATTTCCTTCTGTTTGGAAGGAATCACGGGTATATCCGGTACACAAAGGAGGAGTCAATTCAGACGTTGTAAACTATCGTCCCATTTCAATTCTATCGAATTTTGCTAAACTGCTGGAAAGTATACTTTATGATCATATCTATCCCATAGTTAAGAACAATATTACTATTAAACAACATGCATTCATGAGAGGCCGATCCACTTTGACAAATCTCTTGGCTGTGACACAATACTTATCTAAAAATGTTGACATGGGGAAACAAGTGGACGTTATTTACACTGACATAGCAAAAGCATTTGATCGGATTGTTCATAAGATTTTAATAAAGAAACTTCAAGACTTTGGCTTCTCTGACGCAATGATATCATTATTTACATCATATTTGCATGAAAGAAAACTTAGGGTGCTTTACAACGGATACATGTCAAAATTTTACGTCCAAACATCAGGAATACCTCAAGGCTCAAACTTAGGGCCACTGCTATTTTTGCTTCATATAAATGATGTTGATGTTGTAAAACACTGTGAGTGTGCACTGTTTGCTGATGATTTGAAAATCTATAGAACTATTACAACATATGAAGATGTAAAACTACTACAAGATGATATTGACAAGGTTTTAAAGTGGGGAGAACAAAATGGCCTTCTTCTAAATAAGGATAAATGCTTGGTGGTGTCATTTAGTAAGAAGAACTTGCAACTTCAGCATGATTACATTATAAATGACAGAGTTATATCGCGTTCTAGAACAGTCAAAGATTTGGGTGTGGTTTTTGATAGCAAACTTAGCTTTAAAGAGCATGTAGATAAAATTGTTACTTCTGCACTTAAAGTTCTCGGTTTTATAATCCGCAACTGTAAATCTTTTAATGACATAATTGCATTAAAATGTTTATATTACGCAATAGTACGGTCGAAACTGGAATATTGTTCACTAATATTTTTTCCATATTATGCTTATCAATCTACATTGTTGGAAAATATACAGAGACGATTCCTAAAATTTTTGCATTATCAAATTTACTCTCAATATCCTGTGCATCATATTGATCAAAACCAATTATTAATACAATTTGATATACAATCTTTAAGACAACGAAGAATCATGCAATCAATAGCATTTATTCATAAATTAATTCATGGCGTAATTGATGATATGACAACTTTGAACCACATAAGTTTTATTGTTCCTCGGCAAAATTCTCGTTATTCAATCTATTTTCAATTACCCCGATGTCGAACTAATTTGATGTTGAAATCACCGATATATATTGCCTGTAAAAATTGTAATGCGATTTGTGACCAGTGTGACATATATGTTGAAAAGTTAGGCTCTATAATTAAAAAATGTAATACAATATTTAAAGGGGTATTATAAATTATAATTAATTAATTAATTGATGAAAAAATTGTTAGTAATTGTCAGTAATTTAGAGCTTGTTTTCAGATTAAATAACTTGCATGCAATATATATGTATATAGTTAGAGAAATGTTCATTTAATCGAATTTAATTTAATTTAATTTAATTTAATTTTACTTATTTTACTTATTTAATTTAGATATAGTTGTCCTGTAATTGGAGAGATCTGTTGGGCAATAAACGTATTTATTTATTTATTTATTTATTTATTTATAGTTGCATCCTTACAGTTATGTGGCGGAGTAAAAACTGAAGAAAAATAATCATTGATTTCACTGGGGCTAAATGAACATGTATCCGAAAATTTGTTAGTATGCTGGATATTAAGACGTTTGAGGGATGGCCACAAACCTTTTTTATTCATAGACTGAGCCTGAAAACTGAGAAGAACTCTCTTTTCTCGTCTAATTGCTGCTAATGTGAGATTTCTTAATTTTTTATAGTAAGTCCAGTCGTCCACTGTTCCAGATTTTTTATATGAACTTAAAGCATTGTTGCGTAGTCTAATGAGTTCCTTGATTGAAGGCGTTAACCAAGGCGCATAAGGTTTCGTAACAACTGCTGTTTTTAGAGGTGCATGCAAGTTAAATAATTCAGTGATGCATTCATTGAGATATTGGACCTTGTCACCAATACTGATTAAATAAAAAATGTTGTCAAACGGCGCTAAATGGAGATCAAGTAAGAACTGATCATAAACGAAATGTTTAAAATCACGGTATGTAACAATTTTAGGCGAAATATTCGGGACATCAATTTTTAATGTGCAGTATGCTAACCTGTGGTACGAAATTTGGTCGGCATTAATTACACCACTTTCATATATAAAATCAGTACTATTACTATTAACAAATATGGGATCAATTGAAGTAGCAGATGTTGCAGTAACCCTTGTACTTTCAGTAATAATTTATCTAAAATCATATGTGGTCAAACATTTTTGTAACCTATTGTCAAAATGAAAATCGATATTCAGGTCGCCAGTAATGATAATATTTTCATACTGAGGTGTCACATAGGACAGAAAATTGTTAAAGAACTCAGTGGTATCCTCTAACTTACATTTAGTTTTATAAAAAATACCTATAAGAAAACTTAATTTTTGAAGCTGAAGCTCAATACATAGAAGTTCAATGCCACTTATACCATTATAATCATGGAGTACCAATTTAGCTCTGATGTTATTTTTTACATAGATTCCAATTCCCCCACCAGTCCCTTTTCAATCAGCCCTATATAGTTTATAATTATCCATATTGTCCACTGAGGAAGGTATATAATCAGAAAGCCAAGTCTCCGTCACCGCTACTACATCAAAGTCATTTGAATATATTAAATTTTGAAATTCAGTAAATCCTGTAAACAGGGAACGTACATTCAAATGCGCTATACTCATTAGCTTAGATTTATTTTTATTTGACCTGCTGGCCATAGTCAATTTTAGATATTAATATATTTAACTGCTTCTTGTACATAGTGCACTGCTGCTTGTCCCCGCGTACATGTTGTGTCGAAATTAATGAATTTTTGTTTTTTAAATTATACTCAGCGCAGTTGATACATTTATAAGACTCGCTAGTACACTGTTTAGCTTCATGACTTAGAGAGCACTTGTAACATACTGACTCCTCATTTTTACAATCACGACTCATATGTCCATATCTTAAGCATTTAAAACATTTAAGTATCCTAAAGTTATCATTACATTTACATGAACGCCAACCTACAAAAACTTTAC